AAAAAAAAAGAAGGAAACGTAGTAAAAGTACTCGAGTACTCAACGACGCGAACCGTATAAGGGTAAAAAGAAGAAAAAGAAATGGCACCACCAAAGGCTCCCCTTCCGGCGCGCCTGATCGCCGGTGACTTCTTGGGCTTCAACTGGAACAAGGTGACATGGATGGCGCCATACAACAACTTTTACCCCATCACCGCCTGCGGGGGTCTCGGCGGCCGCCTGTGGTCGTCCTTCATTCAGTACGGCCACTTCCACAACCGCGCCACGTGGATTGTAATGCGCAACGGCGCGCTGGCCATCCCGTCAGTGCTAGCAGCTTTTGTGATGGTATCCAACGTCGACTGGTACGAAGCCCTTATGTGCGCATGCTACTTCCCCGGCTGGGGAGTGCCGGAGTGGGCACAGAAGCGGCACGCAGAGGAAATGGTGTACCTCTCGTGGAACAAACCCGGCGCGATGGCGAAGCACCACTACGCCGGCTCCGTGTCGATCCCTGGATCGGAGAAGCTCATCACCGCCTAATGGACCTCTTTGCTTGGTTGCGTATGCGGGAGGGCGGAAATGGATGTAATGAGCGGAAACAAAAACAGTGAATGTGTCGAGGAGGATGGAGGCGTATCCTCTACGCTCTTCATTCCTCACCTTGTGAATTAGTATGGCGTGTGAGAAAGAAAGAGAGGGAGAAGGAGTGTGTGTGTGTGTGTGACGCATTCCACAGGGTCGGAATAGCTCGTGGCGATAGGATTAGGAGTTTTAGGTAGGCGTTGGTATTTTATTGGATGCGACAGAGACGTATGGGCACCCCGCCCCTATGCACTCTTGGCCTCGGTGCTTGCGTGATGTTCGCTGGACTGTTGCATGGATTCCTTCACTCTTTGTCCCCTTTCTTCGTCTTTTTTTTCGCTTATTGTTTATGTGTGTCTTGGAGCCGGTCATACGAAGGAGACCACTGATAGTACAATACGGAGAGACGTCCTGACATGACAGCAGTTTCCGGTGACGATGCAACGCTGCTGGTACGTCTCCGGGCTGAGATCGCCATGGCCGAGACGCAGTTGCAACGCAGCCGTGCAACGCAGCGTGTCTGCGATGCTGCATGCGACCTCGTCGCCAGCAGCAACAAGGGAAATGGCACAATAAGCAGCAAGGAGAAGGAGGGGTCGCCTGAGGTGTCGCAGCAACATGCCAGCGCGGCAGAGCCTTCCCTGGTGACGTCCGGCAGCGCATTTGGAATGCGTCGTGCAGGCGCCACGCACTCGCTGCCGCCCACAGAACCGCTGCCACAGTGCAAAACGGGAACACTGCTTCACCTCGTCAAGGGCTCCTTCGGCAGCAAGAAGTTCGTGTCACACTTTATCGTAATTGAGGAGCAGCACGGTGTCGCGTGGTACCAGAGCGAGGCACACTTCCGCTCCGCTCCGGCGAGTCCGCTGGGGCGCGTGCCGTTCTGGACGGAGATGCGGAACTCACGCGGCAGCCGCTTCAAGAAGGCGGCTGTGTGCTGGCCGCTGATACTGCCGGAAGACTGCCCAAAGGCTGATGACCCGACAAAGACATATTTTGCAATTGAGTACCTTAACGAGAAGAATGCACTCTCTAAACATATATTCGCCGCTGAGAGTGAGGCGGAGCGTGACAACTGGGTGTTCTTCATCACGCAGTTCATCGAGATGTTTTTGGCGCCGCGTGCGGAGTCGGAGGAGTTGCAGCACCTCCGGCGCGGCGCAAAGATCCCTCAGCACTACTCAGAGGTGATCGATGGCGAGGCTCCGGGCGGCACAGTGCCATGAACGGCGCTCTTGCGCTGGAGCGTGGCGACACGTTACGAAAAAGAAAGCAACTGACGAAACAAAAGCTGTGTGCAATCTCACCAAAAAAAAAAAGAAAACAGATGGAGAGGTGACTCTGTGTGTGTGTGTGAGAGAGGGAGGCAGACGACGCGCTATGTTTCGTGTGGGATTGTTTGAGATTGTCTCTGTACCTTGTATGGCGGGGAGGTGGAGATGGGTGCATGTGGACTGTGCCGCTCCAAGTGCCCCGCACTACCTTCCAATGCATGCCTGATTTCTCTTTTTCCTCTGCGCTGGTTTGGGTGAAGAGTGCCATGTCGCTCCCAATCGTCCGTCTGCGTGTGGTGGACGCCAACTGCGCGACGGCCGCGGACAACCCCGTCACGGCCTCCTGCACGCTTTACACATTTCTCCGTTCAGTCCCCAGTAATGTTGAATGTGATATGGCGATGGTCGACTTTAAACAGTCCGTGCAGGCCACGCGCGGACACTCGTACCTGTCGAAGGGTAACGAGAGATTGCTGAACCTCATCCACGCCTCTGTGCAGGACTCAATCCTTCGACACCCACCGAAAGTGTCTCCACAGTTGGCACGAAATGCGACAACATGGCGGATGCTGCTTCAGCAGCAGAGGCAGAAGCAGCAGCAGCAGCAGCAGCAGTATGACGAGGATACCAAGACGTCAAATAGTACAGCGACGGCTACACGGTCGCAGGACTTCACACATACTGACTATGAAAATGATGATGAGAGTACCCAAGCGCCAGTTCTGAGTTCCTTGGCATCGTCCACTGTTGGAGAGATCAACAGCAATAGCAACACCAAGAGCAAGAATCACGAACTGATTGTGAAAGAGACTATTACCGCTGCCTCAATGCGTGTCAGTGGCCCCTACGAGCAGGCTGTGTCGGCGAATTGGCGGCATGCACCGGGTGCTTCAAACACCACAACAGCGCCTCGGCCCTTCACGGAGGAGAATGATGATAACGAAAACCAGGGCGTGGGCGTCGTTTCTATGGAGGCTGCGCCACCTGTGTATTCGCCGCGGGCGGGCGGGGTGCTTGGTGATGCACGTGGAGGATGCCGGCCGCACCCGCTGCTGCTCGCCCTGCTGGAGCGGGCACGGGCGACGCTTCCAGTGGAGGAACATGAGAGCGACCGACGTGAGCGAGAGTTTGCTACAATGATGGAGTCGCGAGCCGCTGCGCTGCGCACAAAGCTATCGAGTGCATATTCCATGATGTCACCACAGGAGAGGGAGCATGTGGAGTTCCTGCGGCAGCTGGAAAAGCGCGTCGCAATCGCAGAGAAACTCTTCGAGGTGCAAAAGTACGAGGAGAAGACGATTCAGATGTCGCAGTGCGCTCTGCAAATAGAGGTTGCGACGATGCGAGCACTTCTCCACCAGGTTGTGGACGCCGTCGTAGAGACAGAGGAGCGTCATGAACGGGAGGGACCCCAAAGCCCGTACTACGCAGAGGAGTGCCAACTGATGGCGTTGATACAGCAGTCCCTAGACGAGGTTCCCTCCTGAACAGACCAGCAATCCGTTTTTTTTTACCTGAGCTGAAGTCAGGTACACATATGCTTATGCGCACACATCCGCATACAGAGAGTGTGTGAGAGAGAGAGAGCGACAAGCAGAGACAATATATCTGTATGAACTTGTGGTGCTCTGTGTGGTATCGCCTTCCTGCTTCTCTGCCCGCTTTTGGCTAAAACTATTCTCGGGGTATGGGGATGAGCCCACAAGAAAGAACATGGCGCCCCCAATAGGCCTGCTAAAGGCTGAGGCACCTGGGGATCCTTTGTTTCGGCGCCTTGCGGTGGCGCCCGATTACGCAGCGTTGAGCGGCGGGGCCATTCTTGCAACCTGGGGTGCACGGTCGGTTCCTGTGATTACTGCAGCTAATAATAAGAACAGTGCCGATGAGGTTCCGTCTCTATGTTACGACCGATCCTTGCCTTGGGTGGGGCTTCCATATCCTGCAATGGATGTGGTGTGGTGCCCTTTTAAAAAGGGAAATAGTTACGCTACGTTTCTTACGGCATGTCGCAGCTGTCCGCTCCAAATGTGGGATCTCGATGATGCATCATTACGTGCATCGTACTGTTGCTATAATGCTGCTGGAATGCTGGCGTACCCACATTCCACCTTGTGGTCTCGCCATCGCACACTTGTGGCTGCCGGCTACGGCGGCTCTGAGGACAACATTCACGTACGCCTCTATGACGTCCTTCGCGAAGGAAGTACTGTCGTGTCGTCGTACCGTTCTCCGTGCTCAAAGGGTATAGTCTCAGCACTCTCGGATGGCCCAGCACCCTGCCAGGAAAAGTTGCTGCTGGCGGGATTCATGCGTTCCGGCAACGTGGATATTGTGGACACGCGTCACTGTGGGGCTGCCGCCGTGCTGCGCGGTCTTCGTTCAGGCGTGGCGCAGGTCAGTGCACATCCAACCGCAGAGCACATGGTGTACGCCGCTGGGCGACTCGGTGACAAGAGAATAGTCTGCTGGGACACTCGAAAATGCAACCAGCTACTAGCAACATTTGAAAGGGAGGTGCGTACGCAGCAACCGGTGCATTTTGGGTTTGTACAACGCACGGACACAGAAGCTCCGCGAGTAGATCTGGTGTCAGCGACGCACGATGGTGGCGTTTTGGTATTCGATGAAGCCGCCGCCGCAGCTAAAGAAGTGACAGCTACAGCGCGTGAGCCACGTCGTGTTGGAGTAGACCTTGGGCCTACCGCTGGATTGGCCGTTCTTGACACCAATGGTGTAATTGCCGTAACGGTGGGAGAGAAGCGGTACGCCGTGCAAGACAGGTGTGAGGCTAACACCGATTCGCCTGGTACGATGAGGAAACCGGCAAAGCGAAGCCGTGACCTGTTTGAGGGCCATGACCTGGAGAGCGATGAAGATTCAGAAATAGGACGAACTGCGGGAGGCATTGCAGTGTTGAGCGTGTAATTGGGGGTGATGATGATGATGATGATTTTTACCTATTCTCTTTGGCTTACGGAATTTTGCCCATGTTGTTGTTCATTGCCGCAGGCTTAATGCTCTCCCTTTTCACTTCATTTTCTTCACTCTTCCACACAGGGAGCTGTGTAATAGTTGAATGCATTATTCACAAGAAGACCTAAAAAGAGGTTTAAAATTTTGACCTCGTCAACTACCATTGGTTTGTTTTGCTTGATAATGGTGGCAAACTGTGGCTCCCTCAGATACAGGGATCAGAGGAGTAGCACTGACACGCTGGAGGTGGAGGACTACCCATGCACTCGTCTCATCACACTGAACCGCCCGGCAAAGCTCAACGCTCTATCATTAGAGATGGCTGAGCATATGCTGTGGTTGCACTTCAAGAGACCGCACCCACACCTCGCTCGGCGTGCCGTGTACGTCTTGAAGGGTGCGGGGGGTCGCAGCTTCTGCGCTGGTGGCGACGTCCGTGATATCGTCACTCACGGTACGCTGTTCTCATTTCTAACTCTGACGTATCGTCTGAATTATCACATCCTCACCATGCCGAATCCGCAGGTGTCGCTGTGGAACGGATACGTCATGGGTGGGGGTGTCGGCGTCTCAATTTACGGGCGTTACCGTGTGGCGTCAGAGCGGGCACTCTTTGCAATGCCAGAGGCGGCGATTGGCCTTTTTCCGGACATTGGCGCGTCGTGGTTCCTGCCGCGTCTGCCGTTCCCCGGCCTCGGGCTGTACCTCGGCCTCACTGGGGCGCGTCTGAAGGGGGCGGACTTGGCGCAAGTGGGCCTTGCGACGCACTTCGTGCCCTCCGAACACTTTGAACGGCTTGAGGAGCGTCTGTGCAACATCAATGACCCTGCGGAGGTGGAGGCGTGCCTGGCGGAGTTTGCCGTAAAGAAACTGCCACCTTTCTCGCTTGAGACGCATCGCAAGACCCTTGAGAACGTCTTCACGCTGAAGGATACAACTACTGTGGAGGGAATTCTCGATGCACTCGCCGCGGACGGCAGTGATTTTGCGAAGTGCGCGGGGGAGGCATTGCGCAAGGCATCTCCCACCTCTCTGAAACTCACTCTGGAGTTGATGAGACGCGGGACGACGCTGCAATCCCTGCGGGACGCCATGGCAATGGAATATGGTGTTGTTCAGCGAATTGCACAAACTGGCGAGTTAACCGCTGGCGTAAAGGCTCTGCTCATTGATAAGACTAATCAGCCGCAGTGGGAGCCGAGGACATTGGCGGAGGTCACACCGTCGTATNCTGGCGTAAAGGCTCTGCTCATTGATAAGACTAATCAGCCGCAGTGGGAGCCGAGGACATTGGCGGAGGTCACACCGTCGTATGTGGAACATTTTTTCAATACTGAGGGCCTTGTGCCGTGGAGCCCTGAATCCTCAGCTTGCGTTTCGTGCAGCGTCGAGAGTGAATAAGGGGATCAGGAAATCAAAGGGAAGTACAACGATTTTGAGAGACTTTTTTTTGCCATACTTAGTTCGGAGTGTACGTTTTTAATTTCTATTTTTGTTCTGCCGGCTACGGCATGACGGGAAACGCATACGCCAAGCTTTCCGTATCCTTTTCATAGTGGGTCGTTTATTTTCCGCATGGTTTATAGCTCCTAACAACAGCATCCAACAAAAAGTTGACAAACAGAGGAAATAAGTAAAGAACGTGGCATATATTATTTCGAAGGGGAGGTTTCATCACGACGAAGGTATGCAGCGATCATATTCTCTTCTTTCAAAGGCGCTTCTATGGAAGGACTACCCATGTGCCCGCCTGGTGACCATAAACCGTGAGAAGGCATTGAATGCTATGAACCTGGAGATGGTTAAAGCGATGAAGCAGGCGTACGTTCACGAGCCACACACCAAGGGGGATGCTGCTTTATACGTGTTGAAGGGAGCGGGCAGCAAAAGCTTCTGTTCCGGCGGGGACATCATTAGCGTGACCAAAGATAACAACATCGCCAAGGAGTTCTTCTACGAGGAATACCAAATGGACTACCACATCCTCACCATGCCGAATCCGCAGGTGTCGCTGTGGAACGGATACGTCATGGGTGGGGGTGTCGGCGTCTCAATTCACGGGCGTTACCGTGTGGCGTCAGAGCGGGCACTCTTTGCAATGCCAGAGACGGCGATTGGCCTTTTTCCGGACATTGGCGCGTCGTGGTTCCTGCCGCGTCTGTCATTCCCCGGCCTCGGGCTGTACCTCGGCCTCACTGGGGCGCGTCTGAAGGGGGCGGACTTGGCGCAAGTGGGCCTTGCGACGCACTTCGTGCCCTCCGAACACTTTGAACGGCTTGAGGAGCGTCTGTGCAACATCAATGACCCTGCGGAGGTGGAGGCGTGCCTGGCGGAGTTTGCCGTAAAGAAACTGCCACCTTTCTCGCTTGAGACGCATCGCAAGACCCTTGAGAACGTCTTCACGCTGAAGGATACAACTACTGTGGAGGGAATTCTCGATGCACTCGCCGCGGACGGCAGTGATTTTGCGAAGGCTACTATTGCCACGATCAACAGTATGTCGCCCACATCTCTCTGTGTGGCGTTGGAGATGCAGAAGAGGGGTTACAAGGCGAAGGACCCCGCAGATATTTTCCACAGCGACTACTCGGCCGCCCTGCGGTCTTGCGCCAATCCGGATTTTGCTGAGGGCGTGCGGGCACTTCTCGTCGATAAGACAAAGGATCCCAAGTGGAAACCTACCAGGGTCGCGGATGTCACTCCCGAGTACGTGGAGGCATACTTTAAGCCTGTGTCGCCGGACTCCCGCCAATGGCATCCGACTGCCCCTTACTGAATTGGTTGTACAAATTCTGTGCAACATAGTTAAGATCATCTTTTCTTTTTTTGGATAGCTGCTTTGCTCTCCCTCGTATTCTGAAGCATAAGTGGATGGTCTTGAGAGAGACGCATATTAGCGAAGAGTTCATTCTTTTGCGTATCCATTGCAAGCACTGCCTTCTTCTTTTACAGCCAAAATCCCCTTTTTTTCACATTTCCCTGTGCGCTTTTTGTTTTTTTTTGTTTCCCTTTTGCTTACTTGTGTGTTTTTGTTTTGCTAGATTCCAGTTCCACTCGTAGCTTACCCCAATGACAGAGGTGAGCGTCGGGGAGGGTAACAGTGATTCGTCAACTCAGCGCTTTGCCTCTGGCATGAGCAAGGATAATATTGTAGATGGACAGACTAATGAGTATCTTGCACAGTTGAAGAGGCACGTTGGGTCCTCTGGTAGTCATGTAGAGCAGTTCAAAAGCGAGCCACCCTACTGTATTGTAGAGTATAATTTGGAAACCCCTATACCTTCTGTAACCACCTCCAAAAACAAACCATTAGCGGTTTCAACCAATCCTGCGACGGGGGATAGTGAACTGAATGTCAGCATTGCTGATAGCCTTGCCAGCTTCGCAAGTGAACAATCCCGTATCAGAAGACGCCGACGTCGTGAGCTGATGGCTCCTGAGGACCCAGCCGATAGTGAAAGGCAACGAAGAGAGTTGGAAAAGGCCCTCCAGAGCTTAGAGGAAATGCAGCGGGAAAATAAAGAGAGAATGCGGCGGGTTGCCTCGCAGTCGGCGAGCATGGGCGCGCAGTCACCCAATGAAGGAAATACGGGTTTAAGAGAACGTGTGTTGCCCTTTTTCTTTCGCACACAATCGGTTGGCGGGAGGCCACTCGGCGAGGCGGTCAAGACTAATACGCTAGAACGGGCAATGACCTCGTTGGCGATGCCAGAGCCCAACACATTGACACCAATGCCGGTCCCACGGCAACGCAACAAGGGTTCGTCTATAAGCGCTGTTCCACAACAGCAACGCACACGGGCTAGTTCCCCGCGCTTGAATCGGAATGACGCAGCTGCGCCGTTCAAACAGGGAACCCTTGCTGCAGTACCTGTAGCAGAACCAAGATTGCAGTCGGTATCCTCGCCGAGGACGAACTTCATGACCAAGGCGGAGCGTAGTGGGGGAAAAAGATCGTCACCCGCGCAGCTAGGTCAATCATCGCCATCACAAGGCCCCGGGGAAAAACGATCGGGAAATGGTGAGTGCAAGACCGGTAGTTGTGACCCGTTTTTTCGCATCAGTGGTATGGTGGACACGGAAAGGAATCGGGCGCGACAAGCCTCCCCCGATGAAGGCAAGAGCCTTAGGATGTCCCCGGCTGGCGCTGCTCGAATAGAGAACGGCAGACCGCCTATTGTGCGGTCTGGTGGCAGGCGCTCGGTGTCCCCTCCAATTATCATTCTGACGGTGGACTCGCGACGCAGCATGGGGGAGGAGGACGCGCGGCGTTTGCTGAGTGCCGAGCCGATGAAGGGGCAAGATCCGTATGCACGCCGGATGCTGCACAACGCCGAGGGGCGCCAGGCGGGGAATACCCCTCCAGCTTCTCGCGCGCAGGAAAAAGCACCGACACGTCCCCCCACTACGAAGGAGACACCGTCGACAGTGATGAGCGCGAAGGAGACGCCGAAAACGGCGACAAGCGCGAAGGAGACACCGAAAGCAGTGGTAGGCGCGAAGGAGACACAGGCATCAGTGATGAGCTCGAAGGAGACGCCGAAAGCAGTGACAAGCGCGAAGGAGAAGGAGAAGTCACCACCGGTGCCGGAGCCCAAGAGAGTGCGCGCCCCAGCCGTAACGCGGGTCCCCATCGGGGCTGGTGCTGCGAAGAAGAAGGAATCTGAGGAGCGTGCCTCGGTCAGTTCTCCGAGGGGCTCAGCGAGTAATCAGATGCTCCAGACAAAGCCACACGTCGTTTCGGAAAAGGTGCCCACGTCACAAGCGACGAAGAAGAAAAAACCTTCACCTACAGGGGGAGCTGCGACTGGTACGGGCACAACCAAAACACGCGGTGGCAAGAGCGGTGGCAATCACCCGTGCAAGGTGACTGTTGTCACGGACACGGATCGGAAGTCCAAGCCCTTACTACAGCCGGATGGGCGCAACGGGATGCAGGATCGTGATCCTCTAACTGTGGGCGGATGTTCTACTGCTGCTACTACTCCAACGGCTTCTGTGGCTGGTGCGCGGCGCCGTACACTTGGCGGATCAACCCGCGCCCCCGCTTTGCGCCGCGAAGAGGCGTCTTCTATGCAAGACAAAGACAACCATCGTGGTACGAAGAGTGTGTCGCCGCCACACCCGTCCGATCCGCCCCACAACGCATCGCAGCGTCCCAACTCCCACTATACACTGTGGCGGCGAAAAAGTCTTTCGGCGCTGACGTATACGGC